TTTTTGTTTACCAAATTGTATGTCATACACAGAATTGTAAAACAGCTACCTTTACAAACTCAGTGGAAATCTCCATCCCTAGGATGGGTTTTACTTGTCCAAGAGCCTGCAGCGCTGGATTCCAAATGGCTGCAGCCAGGAAATGACTGCATTCCCAGTAGGTGGCTGAGGTAAGGGAAGCATGCTGTGTTCCCCTCCAAAAGTGCAGATAACACATGCACGTAACAAATACAGCCTCAAGGCTCGAAGTTCAATGCGTTTACAACTTATATAGTAATCAAATAGGATCTTAGAAAGTGAGGGGTTTGCCTTTGAGGGACATCTAAGAATATGACTAAAATTGGTGTTGCTTTATTCAATATACTAGTATCAGTCACTATTTTGACACACAAAGAAAATAATGGTACAGAAGGGATCTGTGAATACCCCATTAAAGCTTTAACAACCACTTATCACATGGTCCCCTAATTTACTTTTCCATCTGTACTGAACACCTCTCCATATTAATAAAAGTTCCCAGTTCCTATGAGTTACAATTGCCCTTCTTCCCAACAACCTTCATGTCTTTCTCCAACTTCATTATTTACTGGAAAATTCAGTCTTGGAAATTTAATGAAAGCTAGTTATTTTAGTTATACTATTGCAGTCTGTGGATATCAATATATATAATTTGTCTTTCCTTAAAGCATACCCCAATAGACAGAGATATTACCCCATTATCAGACCAGGAATATTTTGGTTCAGGAGCTGTGATGGGTGAAATGCCAAATTATGACAATCCTGAGTCTTACTGGAATTCTGCAAACTATATTTGGAAACTACCTTAGCAAATACAGCCTATTACAAATAATGAATTAGCCTCAAAAAACTGAAAACATTTATTTTTGATCTTAAAAAAGACATTATTCGGGTAGACCACTTCTTCACTTGGTAAATAAGCTTTTAGTAATTCTTTCCTACAAACACAGAAATAAAGATCTATTTTCATTTTGCCAAGCTTTACGTTTTTTTTGTTTGAAAATATACTTAAAACCTAAAACTAACCAGTTTAAATATTAATTAATATTTAGCTACTATTTTATTTTGCTTTAAACAGTGAAGTTTATTACGAAGAACACAAAAGCAATAAATACCTAAAGGACGATTATGTAAAAGAAAATATTGTGGACTTGAAGATATACTATAGTAATCCAGTAAATAAAATCAAAAGTATGCTTCATTCCACTGTTGCTGTGGAACTGTTTTCCAAGTACAAATCAGATTTTTTTTTTTTCCTTCTGTCGTTGCCATGGTGTTCCAGTCTGTCTAGGATAATCCATCAGCACAGACAGTGTTGGTATGAATACACAGCTCTCCTTTATCGGAAGGGCAAAGACCGTAAGTAGCAAACAATTTTAAAAAGATACTTTTATTCTCTAAATGCTACAGACATCAAGAGATGAAGTGTTTGTTACTGACAAAGTCAAATCAATATGGGAACTGGCATTCAAACAGTTTAAAGGAAGAAAAAAAGGGAGTAACAAAAAAAATAGCTGCAGGTTCCTTAAAAGGATTTATAGGCACATGGCGATTGAGGTTAACATAGAGTGCTACCAACTCACTTTGAAGTACTGAGATACCTTTTAAAATACACAGCTTGTTAAAGCTGCAGCATTATTAATGTTTAATGTTATTTTGACTTTAAACACTGACAAGGCATCTATTTTATCAAAATAAAAAATCCACTCAAAAACATCTGAACTTTTTTGAGATGGAGATTCAACTTAAAGCATACAGTGCAAAACTTTCAGCTTCCAGTTCCTGAGAACATTTGAAGAATTGTGCCTTCAAGACAGTTACAACACTCAATGAAGGTTTCTGCATTTAAAAAAACAAAACAAAACAACCCCCCTCCTCCCCAAAAAAACAAAAACATTTTGCTTTTGACTTACACATTTTGTAAAAACAATCTTGAGAAAATAATGATGGTTTTTGATAATTTAAGAATAACATTCTGGTTTTATGTTTAAACCGAAGGAGAACTAACGCACTGAAACCTCATGCTGAGGGCAGTTCTGTTAAAACAGCTCACATTATTCTGCCAGCCTTACAAAGGCCTGATCTCCTCAGTGTAACCAGATAAATGATGCTGAACTTGGATTAACTTAGGTGACATCAAACAGCAGAGTAACAGTATCTGTCAGTTGAAGAAAGTGTACGTTTCCTCATCCTTCCTGTGTTATATATAAGTTAACAAAATTCAGATATGCACATAAAGTCCAAGTATCTTCATTTATTTGGAAAATTATTTTTTTAAAAAATCTTTTTAATATAGAGTTAAAGACTATTTAACAGAGTATTCTACAAGCTTCAAACCACCACTTAACATGGCATAGTCAAATAGCAGCTCTTAATTTACACATCCTATTGAGATCTGAAATGATTTAGGGTTACAGAGCAGTAGTAATTGCCATACTCCAGTATACAAGCTTCAAAAGACAAATAACTTGGGTGATGACACCATCACAATAACAGATACTAGTACTAAACTCTGTTCTGCATGGTCCTGCCAGGCTTAAGTGGTTCTGTTTTCTCTCTCCCTCTCACTCTACAGCTACCAGGACTCCACACCCTCTCCCTAGCTCGATTCTTCTGACACCAGTTCCCAATCCAGGAACTTTTCAAACCAGGCAATTATTTTTAAATACTAGCAGTGGCCAGAATCTCAACGTATAAGTCACACCCCTTTTTAAGTAAACACTGCAATGTACCTGTGTTGGGAGTGCTTTATCTTAACATATCTGACAGTCTAAATCAGCCTCCCATTCAAATAAACTCTGCTGCATTCACTGAAATCACTGCAGAGTATATCCTTCCCCTTTTTACATATCAGAGGCACGTGACAAATACATCTGGATTTATGCAGCTACTTCAGGCACCTGGGTATTAAAACACTGGAAAAAGAGATAGACTGCCTAAGTGATAACAATGCAGCCTGCAGTACTGTCTGTGTGAAATGACAGCAAGATATTTTCATGTTGCATCAAGTACATATATTGATAACACCTGTCAGAGCTACAGGGCACCAAATTAATGTTCACCACCTGTTGAGAAAGTGAGCAATCCACAGAAACCACCTGGCTTCTATAATAAGCAGCAAAACGTAAGATAATGAAGAAAATAAAACTCATATGTCTTCCTTTACAACACCTAGGGATTGCTTTTGCCCCTTTAGCGGCGAGGAACACTAACAAAACCAAACTTCCACTAGAGATGATTTTGATCTTGGCTTCAAGGCTGGAAAAACCCAACGTGGTTTTTTTGAACTGGCAGGTGATGAAAGCTGTCAAACTTTGTGCTCTCCCGAACACCAGCGGGAACTGGGGTTGAGTATGGTGCAAACCCCCACCGACTGGCAGGAAAAGAGCTGACAGAGCACCAGCCAGCACCACAATGTGGTGGTGACAGAGCACTGCTGTCACTAAGCCTGGAAGCTGGAGGTTCAACGATGCTGCAAACACTAACTCCGGGAGATGAGAGTGTGAAAGAGACCCATAAAACTATCAGTAGGTACCTGAAAATAGAAGAGTCATCCTTACTGGAAGTGAAAGAGAATTCAGTCCTCGGGGACAGGGGAGTTTCTGCAAAGTGTTTCTTCAGAAGATTTTGGTATTTAACACTCTGGGAGTGCCTGTTCATTCCTTCTATGTGCACTTCCCCCACCATCCAATTGTATATACATTTCATAAACAGCATATGGTAGGATGAACTGTTATCTTTAAGCTGATCTCTATGCTCATGTCTATAATTAAATAAAATTTTCCAGCAGCAATTTCATCCCTGCTCCTTATATAAGCAGACGATTTATTACATCGACTTCAGCATGCCTCATCATGTAATGATTACAATGCACATGTATTATGGAGACCAAAGGTCTATCACACTTGCAAATTTCTTTTAATATTTCTGTTGAGTGCTTGATTTTGGAATTTTTCTGATTTCTTTCAACAAAACCTTCATACCAGATTTTCAGGGAAATTTTTGGAGAGAGAAATTCTATCAGATGGCAACATTATAAATAACAACATAGCTTAAAAACAGAGTGGGGAACTTTAGGCCTGTTACAAGCAATCTAAGCACTAACCTTACCTCTGCACAAGTGATCTAAAGAGAAGAAACATCAAAAAGTGAACTTCTCTTTGCAAAACACTACCAGTGGAAGAGATAACTTAAGCTTTTGCAGTGGATTACACAGCAGTAGCGAGACGACCCCAAAATTTTGGAGTCAAGCTTTGAAGCTGTGTAATGGGTACTGTTCAGAAACACACTGTAACCTAGATGAACTTGTACATCTGTGTCCCAGCTCTTCTTATACTGCTACTCCTTAACTTTCTCCCATGCTCTCTGCTAATTAAGCTTCAGCTTTTCCAGTTCCATAGGGTTTTTCCTGGTATCTCCTCTCTTCCCAGCTCTTACTCTTATCTCCTCTGCTCATTCTTTCTGTACTCCACATCCATGTGCATAAACAAGCTTCCAGTCCTTTAGGCCGATCCTTTTCTCCTCATCCCTCAACTTCACAGGCCTAACCTCTTTGCCAAATCAGTCACATCAAACACATACATACTGCTTATGAAAAAGGTATGTGCAGGAGCTTAAGCACTGAGCTGCTCGACCATCCATATTGTTTGGTCCCTTCAGCTAGCTTCCTAAAATATTGCCTCACTTGGGGGCTGTTGGCAGTGGAGAGCATTCATAAGACATCATTACTTTTTTACATTCAACAGCACTCCAACACCATCTTAGGCAGTTCCTGTCACTCATATGCTCTTATGTTCCCCATGACACACAACATACATAAGCAAGTCCATAGTGCAAAAAAAGAACATCCTCCTGAGCTGCAGCAGAGTCCTGACATTATACCAGACACTTTGAACTTAAACTTCCAAAACCATCAGTTGATTTAAGGCACAGGATTACCATGTAGGACCTTGGAGGAGACCCAGCACCAAATGCCACACTGCTTGCTTTGACAGCACATACACTAAAATTGGAACCATAGAGAGAAGATTAGCATGGTCCCTGTGCAAGTATCATAGGCAAATTTGTGAAGCATTCCATATTTTTTATACTGATATGGAATATCCCACTGGCATATCCAAATGCCAATTTAGCTTATTAATTTAAATATTCTCCATCCCCTTAGATCTTGCTCTTGTAGACTAACAAAACATGAAGTCCCTCACTTCCAGCAACAAAATGCAAACACTGGTGTGTTATCAGTGTTTCTCTCATAACAAATCCCAGGCTGAAAGTAAAACGCAGCACTATTCCAGCTTCTAAGAGAAACCCAGCTCTGTCCCAGCTAAAAATCAGGATGCAAGGCTACAAGAGGATGCAGTCCTTACTAGTGCTGAGTCAGGCACTTCACTCTGATTGCCTACCAGACAAGGACCCCCTTCTTGCCTAGCAATTCCCCATCCCAGTTTCATCATCTCCACAGCTCCTCAGACTCTGGGCCCCTCCATTCACCCTCTTGCCATCTCTCCTTGCTCCTCCACATTACCAGCTATTCATCCCTCTGGATTACTGACAAGTGACATTATTAACCAAAAGGAAAACTTCCTTATCCTCCTAAACCACCAGGTCTTCTGCCAAGCCCCAGACCTGGCGAGCCCTCAACAGCTTATTACTCTAATTATAAATTATAATTATTCTCAGACACCTGCAGGTGTGATCTGGCATACACTCCATGTAGATACACTATTTGTTACAGCTTATGCATTGTTACTGAAAATTAACAAGCTGCCATTTACTGAAGGTTCTTTAACTAAGCCAGTAATAGGCAAATGTTCACAGATGCAGCACAATAGCATTCTTTGACAGAAAGGCAAAGGCGTCTATGTAAAAAATGATGAGGTTTTGTTTTGTTTTTAAAAAAAACCCAACAACTTCTACTCTGTTATCATCTTCAGAAGTGACTGAATTACTTTGGCTAAAGTTTTTTCGAGGCAATTTAGCTTGCAGCAAACACCAGTGCCAAACAGCTTTAAAACCAGATAGCACTAACAATCCCTTCTTTAATAATAAAAGGTGAGACATGATCAACTTTTATAAGTTATATTTATTTCAAACACTTTGGTAACACTGTGCACACATGAATTAAAGTAACTCAAAATAGGAACGCACACATAACAAAAACTGATCTCCAGGTTTGAATAGAGCTCTAATTTTAGCTCAGCATTGTGTAACAGTTTCTTCAGGTACAATTTTCTTCAAAGTGTTGAAGTACTAAAGTATGAAAGTTGTTCTCACTTTTAAAACCCAAGTTTAAAAAACCACTGGAGGAAAGGCTGCATACAGAACTGGTGCAGGACGAAGCTTACTCAAGACGGCTCAGCAGCGTCTGCTCTGCTCAGAGCAAGTAATACTTGACTTTCAGCTCAGTGTTCCCACATTTTAGCAGCCTACTTTGGATTCAGAACTGCAGCAAGTATAAGCATCAATCAGGAAATTATCCTTTGCTACCTACATACATGTCATCCACTAAAATGACTGGGGAAGCAGCTGGAATCTTAGAGACCATACTTTGGAGCCACTAACCGCACCCCCAGGTCCAGGCAGCCCGCACTGCAAGGCACTGACCCTCACAAGAAGTCCAGCACCAGGAGCAACCCTGAGCAGCTAAAGGAGATCTCCTTTCCTGTCTGTAACATAACAGTGTCAGTAAGAAGAGCTTTGAATTCAAAAGCAGCACACTGGAAGTAAAATTAGCTCAAAGTGCTGATTCGTGACTTGGCATCTAATCACTGCACCATCCTACATGATTCACCAAATCAAGAACTCCCAAGGGGCTAACTTTAACAAGAGCAAACCTCTACGACATCCCTACAGTGGGATATTTTTAAGGATAAGGAACTCTGCAATACACACTGTTCAGCACAACCATACAAGTCAGACTGTTGTGCACATGCTGTGTACGCTCATTTTACATTACATGAAATAGATCAATAATTAGACACAAAAGTATATGATTCTTTCAATTATGCAGTAAGCCTTTAAAAAGGCACTTCAATATTTGATAGTTTAAGCATGATAGGCAGAGATGTGTATTTTAAATAAATGTTGCTAAATTCCTCCCCATCCCAGCTCAATTTCTGGTTTTGATTACATTTTGAGAAAAATCTACATAAACTTTTTCACCCAGCTGGAGTAGTTTATAGTTAGAGAAACTAAAACCAGTAGGAAATTCCCAATGTGGAGGAGAAGAACCCACTCTAGATAAAGAAGCATCTCAATCCAAACAAGAACAATTTTTTCATTTTAAAACACTAACCCCTAAAAGAGAACACTAAGTGACCAGGTGCTTTAAAACTGATGCTTCAGCTTTCCTATAGAGCATACAAAATGTTTTTCACATTAAGATGACAAAAAAAAAAGTTTTGAGTGCAAGGACAAGACACACTGCTGATTCAAGTTGTCTTGTTCAGACGTCTACGAATTTTAAAAGTCACATGGCCAGTCCTTCACACACCCTCCCGTTTTCTTGGTTTGTTGACTCCTAATCATTCTGCCAGCTTGCCTCCTCTGCAGAGCTACCTTTCTGTACCTGTTCATGGACCACACTGTCACCAGCTCCTTCTGTAAAGGGCTGGAGTCAAACCAAGTTGCTGCAGGAAGAAGGGACTTCACATAGACAGCTTCCTCTGTCAGTCACCTGCAGATTACACACCAGGACCGAGACTACATGATAGAGTTTGAGTAATTAATGCAAAGTGGACTGCTGCATGTGCAAATATATTCCATATAATACATTCTTAAAATGAATTGTTTAATCAATGTAATAAGCACACAGAACTAAAATACTCTTAGTTAACCCTTTTAGAAGGTATGTATATACACCATTTTCACCAAGTATAGAGTTGGGTTTTTCAGTCATTTTTTCAAGCTCTCAGACATCACTGACAGATGCTAAAATTATAAATGCACAAACAATATATAGAAGTAAGTAATATTTGAATCATATTTAGTTCCAAAATAGCTGGCAATAATTGTCTTTTTCCACTCAATGAAGAGATATTAGGAGGATTTCTAGAGCATTAAAAAAATTAATGAAATCTTTTTTATTAGTTTATTGTGATGAAAATCACACTATTTACAGCTCAAAAATAATAAGGAAGAGACCTCTCAAAATTAATGGCATTAACAGAATAAAGCCAAGTAGGTCTCAAATCCAATCATTAGACAGATACCCTGAGGAAGTATCTTAAAATATTTATTGAAATCAGTCAAGGTTTTGGAGGTTGTTATGGCCTATTTAAAAACTACTGTCAGGGAAATACTTGCATTGAATTACCTATCATACTATCCAGTTTCACAAATTATCTGCTGATTTAAAGATATTTCCTTTAAGAATTTTAAATAATTAGAAACTGTAAAACTATTTATTTATCGACATTTAAACAACGAAACCCAAAAGCAACATGGAAGTGCAGAGAACAGATAACAGTAATCCACTTTCTTTTAGAATCTGCACTTTCAGAAGTGCAACTAAATGTTGTATTTCACATGGTGCTCATTTGAGAAAAAGCTTCTTACTCAAGTATTAGTGGTTTGCACAGGAAGATGGCCTTTAAGTAAAAAATAATAATAATATTCCCTACTACATAACTTATTGCATTTTTCACTTTTCTGTATTATCATTTTCTAGTGACATCTGAAGAATATTGGTACCACCCACTGTAAATTCATCCCAAGAAAAATATGAAAAAGTAAAATATTTTCTCCAGTTAATCGTCTACAAGTATTCTGTGTAAAAAATAAATTGAGTATGCTGCTTCTTACACCTTGACAGAATTCTTTTTTTCACTCTGCTTAAAAAATAATTTTTAATACAGCACATTTTCACAAATAATGATAAACTGGGATTTATTATCTGAACTGGGGGTTATTGTCATCATTCTCCTTCACACTAAAAAATGCTGAAAGCAGCACTCAGATGCCACGGGTGCTTTTCTTCCCTGCCTCGGAGGAAGAAAAAAAAAATACAGCATTTCACATTACATCACTTAAGAGTACAGCAGGAAAAAAAAAAGAAATAAATATATATATACTTAGGCTCCAACAGTGATGCAAGCCTATTGAAATCCTGCCAGTTAAAAATATCAACCTTTATGTTCAGGTTTCACTAAGAAAGATACTAAAGATGTTCCCAAGGCTGTATTTATGTCTTGCATCATCTGTCTGGCGATACACAAAAGGCTTTCCAAGGTCTTTATTGTTAGGGCCAGGAAGTTAAATGAGGCAATACACTTACCAAAAGAAGGGAAAGTAGAGACAAAAACTGTCTCAAGCCTGTTTAATACTTTAAATGAAATGTACAATGATAAATACTTCAGGTATTCTCACAACAGTGTTTGTACTTGCAGAAAATGTTTCTCTGCATTCTGAAATTAAACGTAGAAAAGCCTCACTTGAAATCATCCCGTTTCAGTACTCTATGAATCACCCCATGTGCACCCTTGCTCTTCACAGCCCACTCACTGCCATACCACACTGACATTCCATCCTTAGGATTACAAAGGACGCTCCAACAAAGAGGGATCACTCGCTGTTTTCTATAAATCATCTTGAACCTCCCTGATTATTTTAACAAAGGTAGTTCAGATACACGTGCATCTTTGGCTGTCTTGCACAGAGAAGAGGAAAAATCTGAAGTGATGGCAATATTACCCACTAGAATTCAATATAGGACCATAGTGACAACTTATTGTAAGAGGCTGGAAATTACGAAGTTCTTTAGCTTTCACTGACAAGTAGCATATGAAATGCAGCACAGAAAAAAAGATCTTTTTTAGTCTCTCATTATTATTTACTGAAGAAATTAGGATGCCTATCAAGCACACTAATCATGGCCCGAAACACTGACGTTAAATGGTAGTGCAACAAGATACTTCTCTTGGGTTTAGGAGAGATTAAGCAGGAGGGAAACATGAAAGGGAGTTACAAGAATCTCTGCTGAGCCTGGCACCCAAAGTCTTTCCATGTCTTTCTGTACTTCAATAAATATGAAATGAAAGTTTTACATTTCTGTAAAGCAAAAAAGTCCACCCTGAAACACCACACCT